AGCAAATAATTAAAGGGAAATAAAAATTCAGTGAGAGAGTTAGGTTGTAATCTTATTCATAGTGACACCGAGTAAGCCTATGCTTAATGAGACTTACACTACTGAGTAGACAGCAGTGTCAGTGTGCATTTAACAGCATACTCTTTAGTAAAGGTAGGAACAGACAAATTCCATTACAATCACTGGAAAACTGAGCACACGCATACTGGCAGGATTCAGCAACATACTAAGCTAAACTGCATTTCTTTGAAGTTTAATGTGTTGTGTGAATCTAATCATTCTGGTTTGTGTATTGCAGTTGTGTGACATATCCAACTGTGAATAATACAATAAACCATGATAAAGCAAACCACAGCTTACTGTGTTGTCTGACATGGCCATAAAATTGTGCTAACATTTGGGCAGAATTGTGCCCAATAATGGAAGTAAATCTTAGTGAAATGAAGGCTTTTAGGTGTATTGCCTTCAGAATGCTGTATTAATGTATCTATTTGTATAAGTGTGAGAGCTGTGCCAATGATTTAAAAATAACCAGGAAGGAGTAATGAAATAGAAGTAACATTTTGGGGGGAGAGGGAGAGGCGGGTATTTGGACTGATATTTAGCTACTTCTTAACAGGAATGTACTGATCATTTTAACACTAACAACCAGTTACTATATATGAATTTATGTGCCCCTTAATTCATGCAGACTCTGAGATATCTGAGATTATGCAAGGATACATCACTTCACCACAATGGAGTGATGTATGCTTGCATAAGAACAGTTGCTTGGTAATGGGTTTTGTTAAAATCGATAGAACCTCCAAAGCGTGGGCAAGAGGCAGATTAAAATCAGCAAAGAGGGCAGAGTTACTTGAGATTCCAAAATCAACTAAGTGTTTCTAGACAGTCATGGCTGCCGAGCTGATTGTCATGGATTTCCTGCCTGCAATGTCAGGAATTGCTCAAGTTTGTTTGTTTCAAGGGAACCAGTGGCAGAAATAACCTGCAGGGCAAGCAGGATCGACATTTTATTAGTCATTCTCTTTGCTTGTTTTGTATGCTGGTTTATTGGTTTTTGGGATGTGTCTCCCTCCCTTCAATTTCATAGTTTGCTTTATGCTTTCAGGAGGGCAAATGAATCCTACACCTGCTGAAGGTGTGGGTGTATTTAACTACTGAGTTGAATATAGTAGTTACTGATTTAATAGACTCTAACTGGAGATCACCCTAAAGGTATGACAATATTCCAGAGATAAAAAGTTATTGAGGATTCCCTATAATTTATTGAGACACACAGGAAAAAAGATCTACTGAAGTTTTTTCCAAGAGCAGCCTGGAGTATTTTAGCTTTTTTTATATCACGGATCTTCTTGGGAGACTTGGGAGGAAATCACAGCTTAATTAAGTCCACATAGATTGCAGACTGTTCTTGTCGTCTACTTAAAATCAATGTATGAGCCTCAAATTTGCCCCCCAAATGGGATCTGCAGAAGCCAAGTTCTGATAGTAGCTGAAAAGGCATTGCTAAAACAAAACACAACAAAACAAAACCCAAATACTAGCAGACAGCCAGAGGCTTAAGTGGCTTTAGGCATCAGGCTATAGGGAAATCAAGAGGTTCATCATTATCATCTGAAAATTAGAACTGTAGCCTATTCTTGTGTCTTTCAAAACTGAAATTAAGTTCCACTGAGTTACATAAAGTTTTTCTCCCTGGGAAAAAGGCAGCCTTGGCTTCCAATCCTGTAGCTGCTTACTGGGAGTAAATTGGACGGAACTCAGAGCAACTGCCCAGGGCCTTCCTGAGACTTTGAGGGCAGATGGCTTATCCAAGCATTTCTTCCAGCCCCCTTTGCTGCATCCTAATTCTATGTATTTTCTTTCCTGCACTGTTTTCTGTCCCTTGAAGTCAGCACAGAAATCTAAAATGCTAAGCTTAGCATTATATTTCAGCTGATTAGTTATGCTGCCTTAAAGAAAAAAATAGTGAACCATCTGATCCTTTCAAATCCTGAATTATACTTCTGATGAGCTCACACTCCACGCGCAGGGGTGGGAGAAATTCCTCCTTTAAAAAGGCCTTGGGGCTGCCTCTTGATGAAGCATTTTAAAAATTGCATGGCAAAGGGCTTTTGTGATAAAATACGGGGGGGGGGGGGTAAGGCAAGACTTTGTATATTGAAAGGAAGATGGCAGTTTTGCAGCAAAAGCAGAGAAATTAAGGATGCAATCCTATTCACATTCACCCCTCAAAATCAACGAGAAGTTCCCATTCTGAGG